GCTGCGCAGACAATGCCGAAACCTGAAAAATGCTTCAGCATCAACTCGCCACATAAAGTGAAAAATTTATAAACTTCGACAAACTTTCAGAAATAACGAGAAACTTACCCCTTGCCAAGCAGCATCGGAAGAGGAATTAACAAATGGTAGCAGTTCATTGAAGGTGCAAGCCTTTGACATCACAAAAGTGGTGTTACTACCATGAAAGGATACTGAGAGCGGAACAGCTGGAGTTGCTGAGTCTGGCCTTACTGGAAATAAACTAGTTCATAGATTTCATATCACTCGCACCCAGATTGGAATCACGAAAGCTATGAATCGTTAAACATACAGAATTCCTTTTCCGACCCCATTTCGAGGAGCCATCGACTGTACACCCACGCACTTTGGTCATCAGGGTCCGTGAAGAAAGCAGAAGTCACTTTCTGAAGATTTTAACGATGCAAACGGTTCTTGACTCGAGATTTGCACTTTTAACTTAGACTACAACGAGGGAACTGCAAATAACCTTCAGTTCACTGGCAATGACGGTATCATCGAGCCGAAACTCGCCAGTCTTAGCGTTCTGAATCTTCGGAAGGAGTACAGCTCGGTAGTGCCATGCAGAGTAGTTAGAGAAATTCTGAGCGATAAGGCGGTTTGAGAATCTGAAGGAAGTAATGCAGTTTAGTGAAGGAGAGCTATCAACTTCATCAAGAGAACTAGTAGAAACCGAAAAGAGCCTTACTCTAGTTCCTCCTCCACTCCAAGGTTACCTAACTTCGCAACAACGCGACGATGATCCCATGTGTGGAAATTTCTGAAGAAGGTGGAGAAATTTTGGCGAAATGCGACCACCCAATGGAAGGGTACCTGCAGTCCAGTTTGAGAGCTTTCTCACAAAGGGCTAACTCGCGTTTGATGTCCGGATGCTCTTGGCGATGCAAAGTCCAACCACGGTGGAACCAGGCCGCGTACGATTTATGATTTTCCTGAAAACAATCCTCAGAACTCTCGAGAGCACTGAAGACAAAAGAAAATACAAAGGATCGTTTGCAAACCTCTAAGCATGCCTGCGTAAGGAACAGCTCTCCTGACAAAAGATTCTCGATTTTCTTTTTGCAATTCTCTTTACACGACTCGTCTTCTGTCGTTGACTGTAATCGTCAGAATGGTACAGAGATGTATATAATTACGAAGGGTTATAAAGATCCATAAATAATATAATAAATTGAAAAGGGAACTGCATTAGCTTTAATGGAGCCCTGTGCTACAACAAGAAGGATCACTACGGGTGACACTTTTCTTTTGGAGCGACACTGGTCCGGAGGATCCGATTTCTCTCGAATCAAGCTAATCGCTCTCGTGGATCGTGTGGCTGAACAACGCCTGAGTAGAGGGACAGATTAAGGATAGAGCACTCGGTGTTGCTCGACCCTGTTTTGATGGGTAGTCACGCGCCCTACTGTTGAGAGTCGGTAGTGGACTTCTGGAATGCGATTTGGGCCTATACAATGATCTGCGGAGACCAGCCAGTGCACACTCCAGCGTTTTTATCAACCTCGACGAGTCTGATATCTGTGAATGACCCAGTTGAATGGAAGGCTTGGCCGGCCTAGACGGTGTACTGTCCAGGATTTGATCAGCGCCGTCATTAAGGGCAGCGTGATGCACTACACCCTGCCCAACGTTCTCACCGATGTGAGGACGTGTCTGGTCCGTTGAATCAGACCTATCATATTCGAATGAGCGACACGCAACCAATAGAATGTTTGGTGAGACAGTGATTTTGGCTCTATACCTATTCTGCCAAATATTTCTACTAAAAGTTCGCAAACGTTGACATACCACACATTCTTCCCACTCTTTGATTTTCTTCTCGATCGTTTCTCTTCTAATATTCCAAAACGTGTAAATGTCAGGATTCTTCTCTAACAACCTCTGCGTTAAACTCAAGATTTCATCATCCAGCTCGCCTGGAAAGAAGGTGAAATGATGCAATACAACGCAGACAAGAGGCGCAAATAAAGCATTATATAAACTAACGTACCTTTAGCTCTCTTCTCAAAAATGCGATCGCGAACTGTACAAAAAACCTTCAGTTTTGTGGCTCTCTCCTTCTCCTTCGCCGCCTTTTCCTCATCGCTTGTTGGGACCTTTTTCACAAAATGCATTCACCTTAATATGGCATAGGCATTACTTGAGAGTAATAATTTCCTGCAGATTACAAAACGATAAGGATGATAACATACTTTTGCAATAGAAGTCGAACTTAGGGAGTGAGGTATTTTTCTCTGGAATATTTTCGGAGATAGGATTTTTTTTTTTCCAGGCGTGTATCAAGATGTCGACTACGCTAGGAGTGCTCTTCTTGTAGCAAATACTTTGACGCAACAAAATCGCCATTTCAACACCATTTCGGAAGGTGAAGTTCCAATACCACATCGTCCATAATGGCAAAGTTTCCAAAACAAAAAAAAACTCCGCAAGATAGCTGTATGAGTGCCACCAAATGTGTGTCAAAACTGAAGGTTTCGGTTAACAGAACTAGACAGGTTTCGAAAAGAGTAAATTATTCATCAAAAAAACACAACTGTGAGCCGGCGTGACAAATAGCCGTCGTCGCTTACGCAAGCACAAGGCTACCCCTTGCTGAGTGACTCATCACCAAAAATAGAAACGAAATTCGCGCGTGCCAGCAGGAGCCATTCCCCTGAACACTCCTTGCAAGAAAGGCATATTGAGGTAGCCATAAATTCACCTCAAGCGTCTGAAGTATAAATTAGGAAAATCCAAAGATCAACTTCATGATTCAAGGGAAACTGGTTTATTAAAAAAAATGGGAAACTTTCACAAAAGCACGTAAACATCGAATTTTCAACAAGACCTAAATCGAAAGTGCACAGATGAGAAAACGATCTGACGACAAGCATGACAACACCGTACAGTGGAACGTGAACAAACATTTGGGCACGCACTATCACAACAACAGACCCCAGAATAGAGTGAGAAAACAAATCTGATAACTACTAACACCTGGTAACAACACGATCGTAAAAAAATAACGAAAATGTGCAAAACGTCCGATATCGATAATCAACCGTGGATTTTCGATGGGACAGATACAACCTTGTATTTCTCGTGGATGATTGCATGATTGTCTTCTCCATTAAGTGCTTCAACATGACCAACTACCCATGCGGGGAAACCATCGACAGACTCCATGTCACGGATGAAAGGCTAGAACACGCAGTACTTATTCTACTATGTTCAGTGCGATATGAAGATTACAAATCGGCAACGGTAGCTTTTGAAGTACCTCAGCATTTTCTGGGCTGACAGCTACAAGCAGACCACCGCTTGTCTCAGCAGATGTTCCTCCAAATAAATTGAAACCATTTCGATTCGGCATTTTCAATGCGATCTCGTCCATGTATTCGATCACTGGCAGCGTGTCAATTACGAAACGAACGTTGGCTTTCTGGGCACGCGAAAGATTATCTGCATGACCTGTAATAGCATGGCTCCTGGTTAAAAAATTGACCAATCCTTTTCTAAACACACGAGCATGTTTAACTCACCAAGAAGTCCAAATCCAGTTACATCGGTAGAAGCATGAGCATGATATTTGTGAAGCATTCTTGCAGCGTTTCTGTAATTACACAAAAGGAAGAATTATAGAATGAGAACCCTCGAAGAAAGTGAAATGCTGAACCGACCTATTTAGTCTTGTCATTTGCTCTGTAACCTGTTGAAAAGCGCGAACAATTTTGTTTTCGTCAAGGCCTAGCTCTTCAACTCTTCCATTCTTCTTCTTCAACCATTCGTACGAATTGACAGCAACCTACAAAAAAGGTGTTTATATGTCACTACAGCACTCGAAAATCTCCCTAAGGTTGATTCAATTGCCATGTGACTCCACATTAAGTACGATGAACACGAACGGCTTTCGCAAAAAAAGGCCTGAAGTCAGATGAGGGACCGCAGATAACACGAGATTGCAGATTCAATGAAAAAATTCTGTCAAGACATAACTTGGCTCATTTAGGCATGATGATGCAGTGTTTGAATGAAACGACATCTTCTAGAACGGGACCCCAGAGAGACGCCAAGAGTACGTTCAGGATGACCGGACATTAGA